AGAGAGAGAGAGAGGGGGGAGGGAGAGAGAGAGAGAAACTTCTTATCAATTTAACTGAAGTTTACCTTTTCCTTGTGGCGCGTATGGGCCTTGTAACAGTAACAACTAATGTTGCTCGGGCTTACATTTACACATGTATAAAATTGTGTGCATGTGAAATTCATTTTAGAGTTTACATACTCACTGTTTCCCGATTCTTTCTGTAGGAATATTAAAACATGTCCGGAGGCGTCCTTTCGATGAGACCTCAGCAGAAAGTCTTGCTTGAAGGTCTTGAAAGTCTGTACAGTGAGAACTGTCTCTGTGATGTGTCTCTGCAAGCTGAAAGTACGAGAGTCGATGTTCATAAATGTATACTTGCGGCCAGCAGCCCTTACTTCAGGTACATGATTGTGATTTTGGTGGGTGTCTGGAATGAGCGTATCAAATAAAATCGTGATTGTAAGTGTGTTACCCACTCACCGGCACAATTTAGATCATTTAGGAAACGGGCGGCTTCGAAATTGTCTTTCACGGCCAGCCCGGATTAAGAGGGATACAACGTCTTAGCAGACAGAGGAAATAACCGATTTTAAAAAATCAACCACCGTCTGTTCCAAAGTGGTGTTATTCACACGATCATAGGGTATTAACAGATACAAAGCCCAACATCTCAAGATGAAGCTCACAAAGGAGCCGTTGAGCTATGCGTATGACATGACTGTCTGTTTCAAGACGACAATATCAAAATTTATAACTGACCATCATCAGTGTCAAATTCCACTTTACAGATCCAATATCATCATAATATTCACTGATGGCGTTTTGTCATTGAAAGATTTATTTGGCAATGAGAGATTCGTAGTCAAAATCAAAGTAAAAAGTAAGACTGACACAGACTAATTAATGTTGAATTGCCAGGCAGGTCAAGAACTGTTGGGATCTGATGACACAATAATCTAGACTTTGAATTTCGTTGTTGTTGTTGTTGTTGTTGTTGTTGTTGCTGTTGTTGTTGTTGTTGTTGTTGTTGTTGTTGTTGTTGTTGTTGTTGTAGTAGTTGTTAGTTCACATACCCATGCACGGTTGTTTTTTTCTGTGAGTACTTTCAATCACTTTATTAGTGAAATGTGTTCATTGGGCGCTAATTTACTTTTTTTTTAAATTAAAAAGAATTTAACTGTAAGATGACACGTGGCTCTAACCAAACATAAGTCCTGGCTTTTTTTTTCTCTTTTTTTTAGATCAAATTTTAATCTCGTTCATTATAAAACGCCTGAATTTAGCGAAGCTGACCGCTAGTCCTACCTCCGCCTAGTTCAAGGCGGAACATCTGCCCGGGAAGCAGCAAGAGAGCTCAAAACCTCAGTGCGTGTATTGTTGCCCGACCTATCCAAAGATTGTACCAAACTTGAAATATCGGGGATATTGATATACGAAGAATGCGATCGCCTCGAGTCACCAACCCTGCCCAAGACAATCAGATTTTGTTGCCGCCTCGTTTAATTTTTCTTCCTACGAAAGTAATAGGTCAAATCATGCAAGGAGTGCGTGAAAATGTTTCTGCCATCAGCGTGAGGAGCAGTCTTTTACGTTCAGGACTCAGATCAATAATGCATTATTAACGAAACCACGACAAGAACGTCGTCTTCACTGAGCAAAACAGCACGGGAAAAAGTCAGAACCTCTCAATCTTCCAATACAACTCCTGCCCTCACACTGCCCATGTAGCAAACAACACAGTTTGTGGAGGAAAGTCAAAATATGAATGTCATGAACTTCATATTTTCTCCTTTTTTTTTTGGGGGGGGGGGTAAGTGTTTTACGGCGCTCGCGACTGCATAAGGCCATAAGAGCGCGCGGGACACATTAAGCATTTTCAGTTGGTATGAAATTTTGAATTTTTTTCCGGTTGGCGGCGGAAGCCTACTCTTACCGATTTTTGGACCACCAATGGATCTTTAGCGTGCGCAATTTGCACACGGGACCTCCAAGGTTTTTCGCCCTTTTCCGAAAAGGCTAGGTGTAGATCTCTCCTACCATAAGATCAGGGGTGCGGCTAAATGACAGCAGAAAATAGGAGCCAAGGAGTAGCAGTAGAAAGGCTGCAGAAAGAGCCAGGAGCCCAGACGAGGGGGAAAAGGAGGTTAGGGAGGTGGGGGCAAAAAGTGGAGACGAAAGCAGACGACAGAACATTGTTATAGAGCAGAAGACGGTATGAAAAGAGAACATTTTAGAGTAGAAATGTTCCGTCGCCAAGCGGATTGGAACAGGGACCTGTTGAATGAGGAGCAAACACCTTAACCTCTAGACCACGAGAGCCCCCTGTCAGTGCCCATGAGGGATGACCAGAACAGCAAAGTGCGTGCAAGAGTTCGTTTTGCGAATCTGCAGCAGTTGGAGGTTGTACTGGTGCAGAAGTGGGACAGAATTTCCAACCAAAACGTTGAAAATCTTATAAAGTCCATGCACAGATGTGGTCTTGGTCTGAATACATGTTAATGATTGCCGTACAGTTTACTAAGAGTGAGAGAGGTATCTTTATTAAGTTTCGATTTGCGCTTATATCTGCAAATTTGTCCAAAGGCCCAGGGGGTACTCCAAAAGAAGGAAGACAATGCATCGCAATTACATGTAGTAAACGTGTGTGATTACAATGGTCCACTGTGTGATTACAATGGTCCACATGGGTTGAAAAATGAATAAACCAATAAACACATATGTAAATTTATTAATGTCTTCATTTGATACATACGTGAACAGACTCTGCGACCGAAGTGTTAAGTTTATAAAGGCTTTCAGTATATATATATATACATACATATTTGTAGTCAACTATGTAGAATCTACTCTTTTATAATAAGCATACACAATAACTGATGTTTTTGCTTTCTGCAGGGCAATGTTCACTTTTGACACGAGAGAGAGCCCACAACATGTGGTGAAACTGCACAATGTCTCAGGCTTTGTGCTGGAAGATTTGGTCAAGTTTTTCTACACTGGGGACATTGTTCTCACGGACAGTAATGTGCAGGCTTTGGTCACAGCTGCTGAAATGATGCAGGTAAGTTCGCCATAAGCGTCAAGTCGGGTAGCATCGCGGCAGATCATGTCCGTCGCTTGTAAAGTCATAGTGTTATGTTTGCTTGCTTGTTTGAGTAAAGAGAATCACATCGACACATTAACAGCCATGTAATGCTAGGAAAAAGTAAGATAAACAGACAGAAACAACAGAGTGAAAGTGTAGAAATGGGACACACTAGTGGCGCCCTCCGGCTTCCCGCTAATAATATACTCTTTTGGACTCAACTAAAGATGTAATTGTATCATAACATGTGTAATATTAGAAACAAGCGGGGCTTCTAAGTTGGTGTTAATCTATAATAGAGTGAATCGGAAATTGCCCGGTAGATCTCAGTTCAGATAAGATTTGACCATATAAAGTCATTTAACTGCATTTTGATCAGAGACAATGTTGTTCACACAGCCAACAAATTCTTAGGGTGGGCATGAGACATGTGTATTTGGTGAACTGGAAATTGTAAGGGCGAACAAATGGAAGGACAAATTGCATTGTCTGGGCGAAAATATCCCAACTGAATCCACTTTAAAAAACTGATGTTGCTGAAGTTATGCACCCTGCTAGACACAATGTAGATCATTTCTAAAGTGGAGCACTCCCCCCCCCCCACTATTCGGAATCGCTGGTTGTGTTCGGTACTTCATATGCCACATCGGCCCTTCTCGTGTATACATATATGTAGATTTTTCACGCCCCAATCGACACAATTTAGACCATTTAAGAAGTCAACCCGAGCTGAGAGGGATACAGCGTCCCAACAAAGAGACTGAAGTAAATGATAAAAAGTCTCTCCACACGGGCATCGAACTCGTCTCTTCTTCGTGCAACTGCGAAGCGACTAATCGCTACAGTACAAAACAGACCCCAACCCAGAGCGGCCGGTAAAGCTAGGATTATGCACACGTATGTCTATTATAGTGTACCAAATAGCCAAATTCATAGTCTCTTTCCACTTTTTACATTCTGGCGCGAGTTGCTGTCCTCTAGGAACTGATACTTGAAGTCACAGATGGAAACACTGCGATTTTGACCTTTAAACAAAATAGAGCTTCTTTATTTCTTTTTTTTTATGCAGCACTAGATCTAGACGATTTTGATTTTAGGAGAAAAAAAAACTGCCTTAAAGTACAAACGTATCTCTTCCAGATCACAGCTTTGCGTGACCAGTGCGAATTGTTCATGTCCTCTGCTCTGTGCACCGAGAACTGCGTTGAAGTTTACAACTTTGCAGACTTCCAGAACCTTGAGAGGCTGAAATGTTCAGCTGAGGCCTATCTTCTGGAAAACTTTCAGGAACTATATGACAAAGAAGCTTTTCTGAAAATGCGACTCCAAAACTTGTCAAAAATTATAAGCTCTGATGACCTGAATGTTTCTCAGGAGGAAGTTGTGTTAGAATCAGTCCTCAGGTGGATGAAATATGACCTGGATCAACGAAAGAAAGACTTGATTCTCCTACTTTTAAGCATACGGTTTCCTTTAATGAGCTTTGATTATATTGAAAATACAGTGTGCACTGAACCCCTAATTTCAGAGAACCCGTTTTGCAATCAGCTGGTTCGAGAGGCAAAAAACTATAAAACGGCTCAAACAAAAGCTGGTGATTGGCAGTGCCAGTTTCAATTCAGTTATAAGCCCAGGTTAGGAATGTGCAGCAAGAAGATGTTGATATTTTCAGGAGGCGCCCATAACGCAAAGGACAGAGCCTTCTGTTGTTTTGATCCTGACACCAAACTTAATTTTTACTCGATAAAACAACATCCGTCCTTTGATTTCAAGTGCAAAATAGACTTTTATAAACTGATAGTCACTGACAATAGCGAAATATTCTTCCTTGGTGGGATTTTCTATGATGATTATCACTTTGAGCCAACTGGTGCCGTGGCGAGGTCAACAGTTTTAGTCTATAACCAAAAAGCCTCAGCGTGGCAGGAATGTGCCTCAATGAAAGCCCCAAAGTGTGCATTTGGAGCATGTTATTATTCTGGAAGAATATTTGTGTTCGGCGGTTACTCAATGTACCCAGGCCACACACCAACTCAGGACGTGACAGGGTATGACGTCAGCAGTGACGAGTGGAGTCAACGTGACGACATGCCAGTGGAAATGGCACATCAAGCAACAACAGTTTTCAGAGATAAGGCTTACATTTTCGGTGGAGTGGATGCAGAAAATATGTATCTTAATACAGTGTTACAGTACACGTTTAGCAACGACCAATGGACATTGGTCAATGTTGAGATGCCAAGGCCACAGGCTGAAGCTGTGGCAATCACCCATGACTCTAAGATCTTTATACTTGGAGGCTGCAACAGCGCTGGGAATATACTTTCTGTTTTGATTTTTGATCCAGAAACACGCAGATGGGTACACGGGGAGGACTTTCCGGATGATCGAAAATTTACGTCAGTAACGAAAGGAGATAACTGTATTTTTGTATGCGGTGGGGTAAGGCATTTCATATCTCGCACAGGATCGTTTAGGCGATCAAAGACTGTAGAGACCAAGGATCTCTTTCGATATGACATATCACGAAACAAGTGGTCAAAAGAGACTCGGTTTGTTGAATATGGAAGCAATGTTGCCTGTGCGTTTGCTAGTATCAATGTGAAACACTTAAATGTGAGCAGTTACGTCGAAGACGATATATAATGTGTAGCTCAACATAAAACATTCTACAATGGTTGAAGAAGAAAGAAAATGAGATTTCTTGGATCTCAAAACGGGTTTTTATGCCTTTGCAGTTAGAGGTGCACAATTGCATATAAAGTTCAAAAGTAATTAAAGTCTATCCATATATCCTTTGTTTCGGGGCAGGGGCGAAGGCTGACTTGTTTGACAGGGTAATCAAAGTGAAACGGGACCAGATATGGCCTGTAGATATGACACAAGAATCTTACTCGAGGCGGCGACTCTGAGTTGTGAATGAAAACAAATCCGGAATTCATATTGTACGTTCAACCGCCAAAATAATCGGGAAAGTATCTAATTAAATATCAGTTCCAACTAAAATTAAATTTAACTTTAGATGTGAATACATAAACACAAAGCAAAGAAGCAGAGACGTCAGTACTAGATCTATGTGTTATAGATCTACCAGTGAGTCTAACTCTTTGGTAGAACATGACAATTATCATTTTTTAAATTTTACATTTGGCTGTTTTTGTTAGCCTTCCGCGGCCAGGAGCTGGTGTCATAATCGAGGTCACGATCTGATTATAGGACGGTAAAAAGTCGAGGAAAAAAAGCAAGTACTTGCAACAGTGAAGAGATTGTTAGGAGTTAGTTCCTCTCACATTTGTGAGGTAGACTCAACCAGTGTTAGTTAGCTTACATAATCAGGGCTTGAGATTGATTTTAACTGTGACCCCAAAGGGGTGAACAGGGTATATGTGGCAATGAAACAGCTTAGACTGCTATGCACATGTTCCCTTCAACTATATTGGTGGACTCTTCCAGCCTCACTTTAAGCTTACTTAATCAAAGCTTGCGACTGCTTATGGAGTGGCCCGAGAGGGGTGAGGAGGCTATTTCTGTGGCCGTGAAACCGTTTTGAATGTTAGGCATACTGTTCGTTGTTGATTACGAACGTCTTTTGACATTTAATTTAAGAGATTTACGTTTATGGATGAATTTGACAGCGACACTGTTTCAAAATTAGGAAGGGAAGCAGTGATTATTTGATTATATAGACTCTTCGCCCCTGTTTCGGGGGGAAATTAAACGTCAGCAGCGTATTATTTAAGATACCTAATGCCTAATGTATCCCCCATCTGTAATAATTACATAACACGACATGCTGTTTTCAACGGTTAGATCTTATGTATGGGTACGAGGCATAGCCTACACGGAAAGCCGTGAAGGATCAGACAGTACGCCTACAGTTTCTTTAAATTCTGGAAACTAAAATAAATTTTTTTACTCGAAAAAAGCCACCGAAAATGTGCACCGGCACATCCCCATGCATCAGAGCAAGTGGTTTAGATCTAATGCAAGACTGTCGCTTCTGCTTTAAAAAATATGTGCTTGAATGAAAATGTTTACTATCGTATCCACACGACGTGGGGAACGCTGTGTCACCTCTTTCCAAAGAAAAAATGTACTCGTTAATCCGATCCGTACGCTTTGCATAGCAGTCTGTCAAAATGATTTTTTGTGGGAAAAATACTGAAAGTTTCAAAGAGATCTTCATACTAGAAGTATTCTAAAATGTGAAGAATACAACCTCCGGGGTACAAAATGATCCCAGCGAGTATGAAAGTTTGTTTAAAATAAAAATGTATTTATATATTTATCAAATTTTTTATTTTTATAATAGCGATTTTAATTGCTTTTACAAAAAGAAGAAATATGCAATACAGCGTACATATATAAGAGAGAGAGAGAGAGAGAGAGAGAGAGAGAGAGAGAGAGAGAGAGAGAGAGAGAGAGAGAGAGAGAGAGAGAGAGAGAGAGAGAGAGAGACGAGAGAGTTTTGTATCGATGATTACAATTCTTGCATGGTCTATATAGTTAGAATCTACCGGTATCTAATCTATGTAGATGTATTGACATTTTCCAATTCAGGAATATTGCAAGAGCAACTTACATTGTAATGAAGCTCTAGGGTTCTACTCTCATGCGTAATTTCATCATGTAATGTACACATCACGGTTGAATTAATTTAATTCAACCGTGGTTAATACACTCTTTGAAAAAAGTTATAAACTAGCCCCCAAAAGTCAAGGAACAACTCGTGTTTTCACCCGTCAAATTTGAACTTCAATATCTCGCAAACCCGTTAAGTTCAGACAACCAAACTTGGCACACGCACTGACAACTAGACACAGTTCGCCTGTACAGCAAATTTGCCCCACGAGCTTCACAGCGACTGCGCAGAGCATTCTGAAACACAGCCGAAAAGCATGAAAAATGGGCAAAATGTCTCTGCTTCAGCAACATTGGCAAAGGGACTGTTAGCTAAAACTAAGCTTGGCACGTGGTAAACAGATGTCTTAGCTGTGAATTGCTCACTTACAAACCTTTATAAGCCAGCGTTTTTCAGCCATGTTTCATTACAACACGATTGTCCAACGACGCTCGCTGCCTGACGTCGACAGAAGACGAGCCCTTGCCTGGCTTCCAGATGGCTCCACGTTCCCAGTCATTGCACATAGACTTGGGGTGTCCCCACCAGTCATGTAGAGGCTGCAAGAACGATGACGGGCGACCAGAAGGATCAAGGACAGACCTCGACCAGGGCCACGCGTTTGACAAACGACAGCATCGACCGGTTCATCGTCAGACAGGCCGTGACGTCACGAACCACCACTATAAACCACATCAGGGACCAACTACAGGTGACAGCAAATGTCCACGAGAGCGAGGAGACGGTAAGGAACCGTATCCGTAGAGCCAGGTTCGCTTGTTCTCGTGTCCCTGCCAGGCCCCCCAAGGCACACGCCGCCCCACAAAGCAGCTGGCCGGGTGTGGTCTGCTCGCCATTCACAGTGGACACGACGTCAGTGGTACCAGGTAGTCTTCTCGGACGAATCCAGATTCAACTTGCTGCACCCAGACAGGCGAGCCCACGTCTGGAGGCGCCGAGGAGAGCTGTTCCACCCTGAGTGTATCCAGCAGGTGGCGCCCTACGGTGGAGGGTCCGTTCTGGTGTGGGGAGGCTTCTCAGCTCACCACAAGACCCCCCCTGTACTACCGTATACAGGGCAATTTGACCGCGGCAAGGAAGAGAGAGGAAATCCTGCGTCCCCTTGTTGTTACTCTCCTGCAGTAGATGGGACCCCAGGCTGTACTGCAGGACGACTACGCCACGCCACATCGCGCACGCATCTTGGGGGACTTCCTGTAGCAGCGAGCTGTCACCCACATAGACTGACCAGCTTGTAGTCCGGATTTTAACCCAATAGAGAACATTTGGGATCACATTGACCGGTGGATAAGGAACAACCACCCATCTGCACAAAACCTTCAACAACTCTTGGGCTGCCTCGTCCAGGAGTGGCAGAACCTAACGCAACAAGTTCTCCGAAGGCATGTCCTGTCCATACGTCGACGCTGTATCGAGTGTTTGGTCAAACGGGGTGGCTGCACCCAGTATTGACAATGTTCATGAAGAACTATGGCTGTTCAGACTTTTGAAATCCGACAAGTGTGATTTAAACTCATTTTACATGAACTTCTCCTTGTTGTTGAAATCTGAAATTGTACACACTTAATCTAGAGAGTCGAAAGCATCTTTTTTGAAAAAAGTGAATATATTCGGTTACACAGCTCTTCAGTTATCTTTCTTTGAATTTTTTGTTCCTTGACTTTTTTGTGCGAGTTTAGTATAGTGGTCGTCGTTAAATGTTGGCCCTTGAATTTTCATGTGACATTTATAAATGTATGTTATACCTTTAAAAATGATATCTCTGCTTTATTTGAGCAGTCAGTTCAACCATGTGCATTGTAAACAACTTTGAAGACCTTGAATTCTTGAGTTGTGAACACGAGGCACGAGCTAAAAAAAACGTGCGAGTTCAGGAGAAATTTTTCTTGATTTTAAAACGGTTTTTAAAAATTATACTGCGTCTTAGATGTATTTAAAAAACTGTCACGTTGTAAATCATTATAATGTTCTGAGTGAAGACTACGCCCACGCAATGACTATAAATGTCCTTGCAATCAGTCGAAAAGTCAATCGCCAAAACAGTATGCCTCTATGAGAAAGTTGAATTCGCACAAAAAAGGAAGGGCCATTGGTTGGTTCCAAGATAGTGTTTTCTTGAGGGAGGTGGCTCGGAGACTTGCTGTTTCACCTTCTGCAGTCGGCCGACTACATAGTAAGTACAATACCGGTACTAACAAACCGGAAGTACTGACAAAAGCCGTCGGTCTGAGAGGCCCAAGTCAACCACTGCGAGGAAGGACCGATTCACCCAACCCCAGGCTGTTGTTTGCAACCCGAGGAGTCCGAAGAACAACAGCTAGCATCATCCGACAGCGTCTCAGTCCAACTATTCACACAAATGTCACCACTCGAACTGTTACAAATTACTTGCACGAATTTGAGCCTCATTCTAGAGTGTCCGCAGACACCGGCTCACCAAAGACCACCGAGACGAGAAGTAGAAGCATGCCGAAGGTGGAGTACACACAAGGAGTTTAGTACACAGCATCAGAGGTGGACATGCGCAGACTTGGGGTTATGTCCTCTTCATCGACGAGTCGAGATTCCAGTTGGAGCCGCGTAATGGCCGCATTCCAGTGTGAAGACCTCATGGACAGTGCTTTCAAGACGCCCGCTCTTTGGAAACAGCCCGCTATGGGGGAGGTCATGTGATGCTGTGGGGTGTGATTTCTTCACAATAGGACCCCTCTCGACCAAGTTTAGGGCAATCTCAATGCCATTCGCTATCGTGACGAGATTGTGCAGCATCATTTTTTTAAATGTTATTATTTTTTTTGTTTTGTTTGTTTGTTGTTGTTTTTTTTTGGGGGGGGGGCACACCTTTCCACCGTATACTGGTACATGATTGTTGTTGGAGTTGATTTGTTACAAAGATTAGATGTTACATTTCTTTAGATTTAGATATCAAATAACTAGACTGATCTATCTGTAAGAAAGCAAGACAAGTTTTTGTCACTTTCTCTTTTTATTTGAATTGCAGTGCTCCCTAACTTTTACGAAGAGTATAAAGTAGCCTATAATTTATAATGAAGAAAGTTACGGTACATGTAGCCTACCAGATAAGCCGGGGTGACAATGACCATTCATCAATAAAACACTTTGTGCCTCTTTAAGTAAGGGCACTTCAGTGACATTTTAAATTATTTATTATGTATTAATTCGTTTCTTACAATTCAAAAACATTGTTATATTAAAAACAAATAC